CTTCTTTTGACAGGTCTCTACTCCCTTAGTTAGGAATGAGTACCAATGAGGCTATTATCAGAAACCTCTCACTAACTCTTGAAGATATTACAGAATTCACTGCTAAAGCAATAGCTACTCAACAAAGATCCTTAGACTCTCTGGCCAAGGTTGTTCTTGATAATAGGATAATAGGATAGCCGTTGATTACCTTTTAGCTTAACAAGGAGGTGTCTGTGTCATGGCCAACACCACTTGCAGCACCTGGATTAACACCTCTGGGGAAGTGGAAACTCAGCTACATAGGATCACTGAATAAGCCACTTGACTTAAGAAAGTGACTCCTTCAAGGGAGTCTTTTTTTGACTTATTTGATTTTGATTGGTTTGGGTTTTGGGGACCATGGTTCCAAAGTGAACTCCAGACACTGGGAATTACCCTGCTTATAATAATCAGAGTAGTCTTTCTGGTGCACTGTATTCTCTCAAAAGCTTTAAATGCATGTTTGCAGCTGCTAATCAAAAAGCAAATGATCTCCCTAAGTCTAGAACATCAGAGAAGGAATGAAGAGAATGAATGACTTAAAGAACGTGAACTTGAAGTTGTGACCTGTGAATACCACAGAGATTTAGCAAAAAGATGCTATGACCTGTGACTACCACAGAAAAGTTAGCAAAAACTGTGAGAACTTCAGAGTGGTAACTGGGAGTGGCTCTAATGCCTTAAATTTTGATGATATCTCTCAGGCAGAGCGTCTGACCAAAAGGGAAGAATTGCTAAAAAAAAGACAATAGGCCAAAATGGAGTCACTTGTGCTAAGCCCCACATCACTAAAACGAGACTTAATATCTAACTTAATTAGTTTTAACCTCTCCCAGGAATGGAATCTTAAACCAGTCAATCTGGAATTACCTGATCAGCACTAGTGAAGTAATCTGCCTGATAGACCCCTGCTGTCCCCAAAGGAAGGTGACCTAGCCACAAACAATCCTCTCTTTGCTAGTGTAACTTCCTTGTCTCTCTCCCTTCTGCCTATAAAGGTCTTTCATCTCGTACGACTCTTTGGAGCTCCTTTCTATTTGCTAGATGGGATGCTGCCCAATTCATGAATCATTGAATAAAGCCAATAAGATCTTTAACACTTACTCAGTTAAATTTTGTATTTCAACAAGGTGAATAAAGGGATTGCTGGCTGCAGGGAGGTTAGATAACTGAAAACCTATGCTGGAATCAATTGGTTCAGCTTCATAACCACATCAAGTGATGCTGGCACTAGGAAAGCAGAAACACCAAGGCAAATGGTAGTATTTTTCCTGAGTTAGGGTTTGGCAAAGCTAATGTGACAGAAGGGCACAGTGATCTAAGGTGCTAGCCTTAGCAATTAAAATGACTTCCCATGGGGTCCATGTGGTAAGATAAGCAAGCCAAAAGACAAATGAGAGAAGAAAGGAGGGAGGGCAGCAAAACCGAAGAGATGAGGAGAAACTGGAGTGGGAACCACCAGGATGGCGGTTTTCCTCTCTTACATCTTCAGAAAATCTTTTGGTGACTGATAGAAGAGAGCTCAGCTTGATCCCGGGGGTGCCCCAAGCTGGGACTCAAATATTGTGAGCATGAAGACTGAGCTGATGGGCCGAACTGGCAGAAGTCTGTGTGCAAGGGCAACTATACAGCCTCCTGGGAGGGAATTTATCCCAAGAAAATAGGATTCAGGCTGGACGAGCTTGAATTAGAACTTAGTCGTGCAGGGTGTTGGGAGTCTGAGTTCAGCATGGAAGCATCACTGTAATCTGTTCCCAGCTCAGTCCCTTGGATGCAGGTCCACGTGAGAAACAGAAAGTAGGAAAAACAGAGATTTCTCTAAAACACCGAGGCTATTTAGGTCCTTCTCCAACTGCGTGTAACCCAAAGATGGGCATTTTACCCTCCACATCTCCACAGCCTACCTTCGAGTTTTGACATCACATGAACCCTAGTGCTCTGGTCACAGTGCTTGGCAGAGAGGAGAGGGGTTATTCATGAATACATGCCCTGCACTAGCAGTGGGCCCAGAGAAACCTTGCAGAGGGTGCCTGGAGAGGGGGTGTAGCCAAGAAAGACCGGGGGATTTTGGCTTCTCACTGTCTCTGCAGAGGCAGAAGAGGTCAAAGATTTCAGGCTCTGAAATTGGATAGATTGGCTCTGCAAGTTACTAGCTCTGTGAACTTGATCAGGCTATTAAGCTCTGAGGTTGCTTCCTGAGGGATGCTTACCTCTTTGGATCAAGGTAGTGAATGAGAAACTGCATGTACACCTTTAACACGTGGCACAGAGTCAGACCACACATGCAATTCCATCTGCCTGCAGCTGCTTCCTCCTCACTCTTTGCTGACTCTTCCTCATCTTAAGTTTAAATGTCACTTTTTCAGAGGAGTCATCCCTGGGCCCTTCTAGCAGACTCTGCCTTGCCACCTTTTCCTTTTTGTTTGGGTATCCACTCCTCAAAGAACGCAATCCTGAAGAGTTCAGGGGAAAATCCTGAAGAGCCCAAGCCAATTGTGGTAATTCTCCCTCCATTCCTATCATTTAGGTGTGGGCATGTGACGCATGTTGGACAATGACAGATGAGAAGTCTGCAGGAAGCTTCTGAGAGATTGCCCCACTCTTGTAAACAGACACACTCTGCTACCATTGGGCATTGTGAGGATTATAACGGGAGCTGCTCCACCCATCCTGGGACCATGAGTGGGGCAGACCCAGGTACAAAGCTGGTGTCCTGGAGACGGCAATGGGGAAACCGGAAACAGCGCGGGCCTTCCCTGACATCATCAAGTTGCTGAATTTACCGGCTAGGGCCTCTCAACCTTGGAACTTCTTGCCATACTAAACAGTAAATTTCCTTATCGTTGAAGACATTTTAAATCGGGTTAATTATTAATTGCAGCCTCCTACATCTAAATTATGACCCCATAAGTTTTACTGTCATGTTATATTTTCCTTCAAGCGTTGATCACATTTATAGTTACTTTCGTGTTTTTTAATTCGAGATTGTAGATTCTAAACTGTCGAGATCACACGTTGATGTTTTTCACCAGTGAATTCCCAGATTTTAGCACTGGGTGTGAAGCATAGGAGGCACTCAAACATATTTGCTGAAAGAATGAACACAGGGCTTGAAAATAGTCCCTTTTCTCCTCCACCTCCTCCTCCTCTTCGTTCTCTGCAATTCAGCATGGTATTGTACAGAGTACAGGATCTCTGGGAAGGAACCTAAGTTTCTCCTCAGACTCTGATCGCGGGCAGCAGCTGCACTCTACCAGTGGTTTTCAAGTTTTTACCTCAAGGAACAATAAGAAAATACACATTACGTGACTGACCCAGTACACACTTACCTACATATTTAACTGAAATGAAAGATTTGTAGAGCATATTTACTCTTATGATGAGTGATATACTTTGATATTTTTATTCTATTCTATTCTACTTCATTTAAAAAATGCAAGCTTTGACCCGACACATCATTTTTCGGACTCATTAATTAGCAACTCACAGTTTCCCCCAGAAATGGACTAAATGAAATGTAAGGACTTTGAAAATCTCTGATTTTCTCCTTTGTTCATAACTGTTCATAAACATCCAGCCCGTTGACTTAAAAGTCAATTATTACTGTGACTTAACAAGACTTATTTTCCCTTTTTCTGTGGAATTCTCCTCCATCCCCATCTCCTCAAGTTGGGCAATTTTGAAGGCCTGCATAAAATGGAAAGATTCTGGCATATGTTCATGAAATAGTACTTTGCACTTTTGCTTATTTTTTTCCGGTTAGCACAAACCCAAACAGAACTACATTTTTCCTCCTCTGAAATTTAACGGCCCCGTTCAACATACTTTATGCGCGCCTCATTTCTACATAAGTTTACGTATGTAATAGTGCAGACCGGTATTACATGAGTCCCACTGCACCATGTGGTTTAAAACCCTGGAGAGCTGGGTTCTGACATTCTCTGGAGGCACAGCGAAGAATAGACCCTCACTGTACTGCCCATTCCTCAACACAGAAACTGCCCTTGTCCTCGGTGGATTTGCCAGAGAAATTCCTCTGGGGGCAGGAGGAAAGGGGAAAAGCCACACGAAGATCTCACAACTCCAGAGCACAGCAAATAATGCGGTGGGGTATATATATATTTAGAAAACCATAATGCAAGCCTCAGGAGAAAACATGTAATCAAAAGGCGTCAGCGAGAGCATTACCAGCTTGGGTGATCAAGAAAGTTCTCTGCCAAAAGACCTATGGATTCCGAAGGTATAATCTCTGTCCCTTGAAACTGGGTTCAAATCACTGCCCCCAGCGTCACGTGAATTAGCAAACGAGATGCAAGTTATGGCTCCAGAGTCCAGGAAAAGCTCGTCGCCGAGCTGCTCGGGGGTCACATGTCTTCCACAAGGGCATCGGTGTGACGGGGGAGCGCACGTCCAGGATACGTGCGCCTGTTTGCGCTCTGGGAGCAAAGGAGAGGTGGGAGACACCTCGCAGTGAAAACACACTGGAGGGGTGGGGAGAAAGGGCGGGGAAGGAAAAGATGAACACCTTCCTGAACTTTCCTCTCCCCTCGTCCCACACACTTGAAATAGAAATAATAACAACATGAAAAAAATGCTTACAGCCCGATGTTATCTCCCTACTTAAGTTGCCTCACTCTGGAGGGTATGGGGTATAAAGCGCAGACTGCGGCTGTCGCCGCCGGCTGGTGTCGGGAGCGAAGGTGCGGCGCTGTGGGTGCGCGCGGTAACCCCACCTTTAGGGAAGCAGGCATCCCGCTGTTCCACGCCATAGCCCCGGCTGACCCCCGCCCCCTCTGTCTCCTCTTCTCCTCCCTCCTCCCCTCCCTCCCTCCCCGCGCGGCCGCTCTGCACCGGCCCCGCGGAGGAGCCAGGCGACAGCACCCAGGCCGCCGCAGCTCCGGCCCGCAGCGCGCTCGTCTGCGCCCCCAGCAGCCCCCGCGGAGCCCGCGCGCCGGCGCCCGCAGCCCCGGGCCCGCGCGGCGCGCCCTGCGCCTAGCCCGGGCTCGCTGAGCCGACCTGCGCTCGGCTCGGGCGCCGCTGGCGGCGGGGAGCGCGGCGTGGCGAGGCCGCGGAGACGCAGGGGCGGCGGTGCCGAGGGGACGAGCTGCGCACCTGGAAAGTTACCCGGCTGCCTGGTGAGGATAGCGGGCAGGGGTTTGGGCACCGGGGTGCGCAGGGGGGACGGGGTCGGAGTGCGCGCGTGTGCCTGCTGTGCGTGGGTTGCGCGTGTGCGCCTCTGTTCCACACCCAGCCTGTCTCGTCTCTGGACTGTTGTGTTTGCTTGCGGACGTGTGCACGCGTTGCATTAACTTGGTGTGGCAGCCTTTCGTGAGCTCCTGGAGGCCGGGGAAGGCTACTTGATTTTAAGAAGGGGCAGGAGGGGGGATTCAGCCCCAGGGAGGAGTGCTCAGGGTTCGCACGCCTGTAGCCCGGGGCCCCCGAGGAGACTGTTGCTCCGGGCTGGGGGCTTCGCGGTGCTGTCAGGGCGTGCGCTCCTGGCTCCGCTTTGCCGAGCTCTGGGTAGCTGCTAGGAAACGAATACTTTGAGTCCTTGTAAACTTGTGTGGGTGTCCTGTGTCACTCTCAGCATCGTGAGGCGCCTTCAAGTTTCTTGCTGTGTATTTCGTGGTGATGCAGAAACGAGCAAATAAACAAATCAGTCACTTTGGGGATGAGAGAAAATGCAATGGGTGCAAGTTTGAGAAGAACTAGAGTGCAGATATACAGCAGTTGAGACCATAGCTGAGAATGGAAAGAAACGACGCTGACAGAATGGACAGGTAGACAGGATGACCCTCTGACAAACGCCTTGGTTTCCTGATCTTCATCTTGTTCCCGAAGTTCCCAGGGGCTTTTTTATACAGGGGGATAGCAACATACACCCCCCACCCCGCCCCTCTCCCCCCGTTCCTTAGAAATTATCTCTTTTCTTTGCAAGTTTCTATTTAACTCCTGGAGAAGGTGATCGACCCACATAACATACAGTAGCTGTTGCCAGTACTCCTGTTTAGTTTTACACAGGAGCGTGGGAGCTAATATGGTGGAGAATTCTCTTTAGAGAATTAGAGGCCATCCTTTCTATTGGAACATTTCATAACTAAGAATAAAGGACATAAAAAGATGGTGCACAGAGAGCTTTCTTTTTTACATGAAATACTTCATTCCAGTCCTCTGAAATCCCTGCAAGTGAAGCTAATTCACCTCACAGTGAAGGCATATGTTTCCTGGATGTTGCCCAAGTCTTTAGATCCCACATTGTCTTGCTGCCTCTAGGCTGTTTTCCTATCAATTATCCCCTCTTCTCCTATGTTTTCATTTTCTCTATGTTCGCTGGTTCATTATTCTGAGCTTACAAATACTACTCTCACGTTTTCACTATTGTAAAAATCCATTGCATGGACCATGATACCATATTGGAGTCCCTACTCTCAGTGTCAGCTTTGTAATCGGATTTCTATCCCAGTCTTCTGTGAAAGGCTAAATTCAGTGCTTTTCCGTCTGATCTCCTTTGCTTTGATGTGTCTGTGGGATGTGAACCGCAGCCTGCTCACCTCTTGAAAATCTTATCTTCCTGGCTTCTATGATACATCTCTTCTTTGTACAACTATTCCTTCTCCATCTTTGTTGTTTGCTTCTCCTCCTCTTCTCCTATGAATAATATCCACAGGTATTATCTAAATGTACATACTTAACAATAGAGACATTCCTTGCTTTTCTCCCTTAGTGATCTCATCTACTAATGGGACTTCAGTTCTTACTACTATCATAGCGGTCTCTTGACTTGACCTTTCTTCTTTGCTACCATCTGCTAGACATTTCCACCCTGATGACCCACCGGCACCTCAAACTCACCAAATATAAATCCAGATTCATTACCTTCTCCATAAAGCATACTTATTCTTCTAACCGTGGTCAGTGTCACCGTGCCCTAGCCCATAGATGGTGCTCTATTTTTAGGTGAATGAATGAATGAATGAGTTAATAGTACTGCCTTCCTTCAAGCCTTCTAAGATCAAAACATTGGAATCATTTTGACTTCCCTCTTGTGTACACCTATTTAATTACCACATTTAGAAATTTTGTCCCTGCAGTATTCCTCCCGTCATGCTTGATTTTTACTATTGTTCCCTCCATGTCTTCTCTCACTTTTACCAAAGCAATAGCTTCTTCTTACCATATCTCTAGTTTTTCTCTCAAACTTCCTATAGACCGAGACACTCTTACTCTCCTCACTGCCAGTGTCCTGGGCACTTTCTTCTTCTGCTTCAGCTTCAGCCACTACTTATGTATCGATGATTGCTAAATATTTTCAGCTCCTGCTTTGGATTTTCTAGTCCTTTGTTTCTTGCTGCCTACAGAACTTCTCTACCTTAAGGTTTCCACAGGTCCCTCAAACCGAGCTTGTCCAAAATTAAACTCACGGTCTTATCCCTCAGATCTGCTCCTTATTTTGCTTAATGACATCACCTCTTACTCAGTTGCCACAATGGAAACTTCCAAATCTTTATTGTTTATCTTATCAGTGCTCAGATTTCATCAGCTGTAATCTCCGGACCTACATCTATAAAATTATATTTATGTGTGTTTGCCTGTTTATCTGCAAAGGTAGCAACCAAAAGGAGCTGAATGGAATGCCACCACATTTGGCAGTGAAAATACAGGATATGTGGCGTTTATAAAATTCACTGTAAACATTTTGCTGGGGGAGGGACACTTCAAAGTGATAAGAAGCCTCGGGAGTAGCTGAAACTTTGGTTCCATAAGAAACTCATATAACTGCGTTAACAAGAGAAAATTACCCTCCAAACTAAGATGTCGTGGACAGGGAAAGCAATCAGTAGATTCAAAACTGAGCCCCAGATCAACAGTCAGGTCAGATGGACAGATGCTTTTAATTGTGGCATTGATATGGGGTTGAGCTGATTCTCACAAGGACCACTCTGTGTGGTTTGCTTCGGGGAGGTGAAGCGGAGATTTATATGTTCAATGATGGTTATTTTCTAAAAGAATTTTGATGAGACGAAGATAAGAGTAACATCAACTGACTGCATCAGTTTCATATATACTTAGAGGACTGTCTATAAAAGCCTGTATAATTCACTCCTTTAACTTCAGGCAAACCTGCAAGTATTATGAAAAAGAATGTGTTCTACTTTTCATGATTTGTTGAAGTGAAGGAAATTTCAGAGTTGCCTGTAGCCATAGCTTTTACCAAATCTCCTATGATAATGTTTTTCTCTTCTGGCTGCCACGGATGTGGTCCATTTTTTCTTGAGTTCAAGACAATAGGATGGGATTGGGATTCTGTCTGGCCTTAATTCTGTCCTCCTCACTTCCTACTTAGATTGGTGCAATAGTCTATTACTTTATCTTTCTTCTAAGCTCTTTTTACTCCATTCCATACTTATTACCAAGAAAGTTATTTTTCTAAAGGACAGGTCTGACCACATAATGTGAAAACAACTTGACCTACACTAAAATCCAGATACCATAACATGGCATATGAAATTTTTTAGTACCTTATACAGTATCTTGGTTTTCAGCATCATTTCTCCTCATTCTCCTTCACTTATGCATTTCAGCCTGTTCCCTGAGTATGCTGTCAGCTTTCTTGCATTCATTTGTTAGTACATGTTCTTTCTTTTTTTGATTAATAGACTTTATTTTTTAGATTTACAGAAAAATTAGGTGAAAAGTACAGAGAGTTTCCATATAGGCCCCCCTTGCTCTCTTCTTAACATCTTGTATCAGTGTGGTACTCTTGTTATAATTGATGAACCAATATTGACAGTGTTATTAACTAAAGTCCAGAGTGTACATTAGGGTTCATTCCTTGTGTTGTACATTCTATGAGTTTGGATAAATGTATAGTGACATGTGTCCACCATTACCATATTATACAGATAGTTTCGCTGCCCCAGAATTCCCCTCTGCTTCATCTATTCATTTCTCCCTCCTTCTCCCCAAGCCCCTGGCAACCACTGATCTTTTTACTGTCTCCAAGTTTTGTCTTTTCCAGAATGTCGTATAGTTGGAATCCTGCAATATGTAGGATTTTCAGATTGGCTTCCTTCACTTAGCAATATGCATTTAAAGTTCCTCCATGCCTTTTCATGGCTTAATAGTTATTACTTTTTATCACAGAATAATATTCCATTGTCTGGATATACCACTGCTTGTTTATCCATCATTCATTGAAGGACATCTGGGTTGCCTCCAGGTTTTGGCAATTATGAATAAAGCTGCTGTAGACATCTGAATGCAGGTTTTGGTGTGGACATACATTTTCATATCAGTTAGATAAATGCCAAGGAGCATGCTTCTGGATCATGTTTGTTTAGCTTTGTAAGAAACTGCCAAACTGTCTTCCAAAGTGGCTGTACCATTTTGCATTCCCATCAGCAAAGAATGAGAGTTCATGTTGTTCCATATCTTCTCCAGCATTTGGTGTTGTCAGTGCTTTGGATTTTGGCCATGCTAATATGTGTGTTGTGGTGTCTCGTTGTTTTGAGATTCCATAACGACATATGATGTTGAGCATCTTTTCATATCCTTATTTGCCATTTGTGTATCTTCTGTGGTGAGGTATCTGGTTAGATCTTTTGCCCATTTTTCAGCTGAGTTTTCTTGTTTGTTTTCTTATTGTTGAGTGTTAAGTGTTCTTTGTATATTTTGGATACTAATCCTTTATTAGATAGGTCTTTTACAAATACTTTCAGTCTATGGCTTGTTGTTTCATTCTCTTAACAGTGTCTTTTGGGGAGCAGAAGTTTTTAATTTTAATAAAGTCAAGCTTATCACTTTTTCCTTTCATGGATCATGCTTTTGGTGTTTTATTCAGAAAAGTTGCCACTAAAGCCAAGATCACTTAGATTTTCTCCTAGTAGATTGTCTACTAGCAGTTATATAGTTTTGTGTTTTATATTTAGGTCTTTGATCCATTTTGAGGTAAGTTTTATAAAAGATGTAAGGTCTGTGTCTAGATTTATTTGTTTTGCATATGGATATCCAGTTGTTGCAATACAATTTGTTAAAAAGACAATCCTTTCCCCAGTGGATTGCCTTTGCTCCTTTGTCAAAGGTCGGTTGACTGTATTTGTGTGGTTCTATTTCCAGGCTCTCTATTCTGTGCCATTGATCTATTTTCTATTCTTTCACTAATACCCCACTGTCTTGATTATGGCAGCTTTATAGTAAGCCTTGAAGTCTGGTAGTATCACCACTCTGACTTTGTTGTCCTGTAATAATATTGTGTTGGTTTAGTTCATATTTTTTGATCAGTAAGTTTTTCTACTGAGTTATTTTGTTGGATAAATAATGTTAACAGTGATAAAAATGGTAATATTTAATATTTACTAAATACACACTATGTGTCAGTCACTGTGCTAAATTCTTATCGTGGTTTATCTCGTTTAACTCTAACAACTCTAAATTATACACAACATTATTTTATCTGTCTGTTGATCTATCTATATGTCTCTCTCTCTCTTCTGTTATTCACTCTCAAGCCAAATATCATGCCCAAGTGACAGTGCTTGGATTGGGACTCTGGCCCTATAACCTTAGCCAGCACTGTACCATCTCCCATATTTGTGGATATACGTGTGGCTATACTTGTATATATACGTATACGTATATATATATATATATATATATATATGTATAAATGTGTGTGTGTGTGTGTATTTATATCACACTCCAGATGGACAGAGAGAGAAATAGACGTTATCTAGATCAGAGCCAAGATTTTGGTTTCAAACTACTTTGAGGCTGGAGGAAAAACACAACTAAGCTTAATTCCTCCCACATTGGCTGCCAGGTGTTAATCCGCCTGCAAGAGCCTTCACAGTCAGTTTTGCTTTTCCTGTGTCTTTTCTAGTTACCTCTTATGTGTGATATTTCCTAAATAGTATTTAAATTAATGTAATAATAATTTATAGTTTTATATGCTTTTCCTCTCTTCTTGTTAAATGCCACTGCTCATTCTATTCCTCTCTCCTGTCTCTGGCTGCAGTTGAACTATGTTTTTTTGTTGTCTTCAAAGATTATTACGTGGGCCTTTTTGGTTTAAGGATTACACTGCAATATGTGAAAATACATAGTGGCTACATGAAGAAATTACAGAGCTTGAGGAGTCCTTGCAGTCCTGGAACCAGGGCTAGGTCATTCACAATGTTTTCTAGTCTCCATCTTTTGATGAGGCTTCTCTTACCGGGGAAGTTTCCCAGGCTATTTGTTCCGGAGTGACTTCTTTTCTTAATAGAACATGTGATCCAGACAGACTAAGATTCCCCTCCCCCACCCCCAGGGGAATAATTTGCATCTTTAAAGACCTCCTGCCTGGAAGATGTCCAGACTAGACTTCTGTCCCACCTAGCAATGATCCCCTCTGGACATTTCCTCACACCAAGACACTAAGTGCCCTGTCTCTAGTCACGTACTAGAGGATTCTAAGTAATTTATAGAAGGTTACACAGCTGGGAAAGGGCAGATTGTCTTCCTCCTCTGGCTGGCCTGACTCCATTGCTCATGTTAAATCCTGATCTTTATCTCCAGGTTCATTTCTTATTACATCATGTGCTGCCCTCTGATTATAAGAAAGGTTCTAGTAACGTATGGTTGCTAGATTGATGGAGCAATATCCTGTGGTTCACTTCTCCTTGTGGCTAGTAATACATATTTGAGAAATAGCTTATCTGTCTTAGTGACTGATACAGGAAACAGAGTGAATCTAATTGGGTTTTATGAAGCCAGACACTTGAAGCCTTGGCTTGAGGTACATCAGTATTTAAATGGGGAAACTAACCAGGAAATCAGACTTGGTATTGAGCCATTTAGTAACTTACTACATCTTAAATTAGTGACTTGAAGGATGAGTTAGTTACTCTCATTGCACCCATCTTTGGAATTCTAAACAGCTTGAAAGATTTATACAGCTTCCAAAATGACCTCGTTAAAGTCAGGGAATAGTTGTGTTTTGGGAAAATTTAATATCTTCTACTTAATTGTGCTTCAAGTTTGTAAAATTGTTGGATTGGTACAGAGTGTTTTGAATGCCATACATAGAGCAAGAATGATGCTAAGCCTTTTCGTATTTAGAATGCTAGAACTGTTTTCTGTGTCAAATTTGACTGCAAATTCATGGAACTATGACACTGATAGAGTATGTGACACTTAGTTAGGTCTTAGTAAACAATTGTTTTTTGAATAAAGAATGGGTTGTTAGTTTAATATTAGATTTAACAGTTTTTGTGCTTACTTTTGTTCTTTATAAGGCAGCTCCTTTTCCTCTGACCACTCCTTCCCTCCGTCCTGCCTTGGCAGAGGAGTACTTGTCCACGAACCAGAAAAGTATGTCTAGAAGATGGCTCACTGCTACGTGTTAGAAACTTACGCACACGTTAATTCAAGGTACCTTTGGAAGTACCTTTCTCATGCCTGTCGTTCTGAATCTCATTCAAGTTTATTCTCAGGTCCCATTTAAACGTCTTCTGAATTGCTTATTCAGAATCCAAGGGTATCTAGGGCTGCTTCTTTGAATTCTAATCTCCTTTTTATATATTCCTAATATGTAAGAATAGTAAATGCTAACAAGTCAACAGAAACTTAAAGGTTAAATCTGCTTCATCTCTGTAACATACTAAGGCAGTTCTCTTGAGGTTAATGTTTATTAATGACTACTTTGAACGTGAACTCTATGAGGAATATCTGGGTGCTGCAAGATTACTTTTATAAGTACATTTATTTTCTGTTTGTACCATCCATCTTAGGTGACCTGCAGTGGCTGTTTGGTTGCATTTGTTTGAAATTTACAGGCTCTTTTCCATCTACGCTTTTATTGTCATAGAGTTCATGATTATTCCAGTAGAGCTAGTGAAATCAGTCTAAGCATTTCGTTTCTCTCTGAGTTTGAAATTTGGAGGGAGAGAAGGGCACAAATGTATGGGATGTATAACTTCAAAGTTGCATCTATCTCTTCAGACATTAGATAATCATAAGTAATTCAAACTCAGTTTACAAGCACTATAATGCTTCTTGGGTTGCGGCTGTCAAAAATTGCACCTGTAAGAGCTGGTCCAGTGGTGTAGTGGTTAAGTTTGTGCTCTCCACTTCAGTGGCCCAGGGTCCTTGGGTTCGGATCCCGGGTGCGACTTACACTGCTCATCAACTCACACTGTGGTGGCGACCCAGATACAAAACACAGGAAGCTTGGCACAGGTGTTAGCTCAGGGACAATCTTCCTCAAGCAAAAAGAGGAAGACTGGCAACAGATGTTAGCTCAGGGTCAGTCTTCCTCGCACACACACAAAACATAGCACGTGTAAAAGTACGAAATTTAAATAGGTAGTCTAAAAAGACTTCAACTTTATGACAATTAATCAAAGCAGTATTTTCCAAACTTCACCCTCCTGAATTCTCCTTTTTGATTTTGCTCATGTGTGTGTATTATCTGCAGATGATTTATTTTCTATTTTCATTGAATTGACTCAGTAAACCTAAATACCTAATTTGGCCTCACAACCCTGGGGTGCCAATTATTTATATTTCTAATGAATGTTAAAATAAATACATAACTAATAAACTAAACAACGTTTCTGAGTCAACTAAAATCATGCCTCATGGTTTCTGATCTGCATTTCACATCCCAGGACTATTTTGTGGCCTATACTGAGGGTATTCTTAATAGGAAAAGAAGAGAGCCTTGTACTGTAGGTGATGGTTTTTTGGGACAACCTTGCTCTAGGATATAAAGTAAAGGATGTAGAAGAACCCCCATACCTCTGTTTTACCTTCTGGTAACTGCAATCCAGAAGTTTCTAACAGTGAGCATTATCAGAAATGCAGAACTTAATAGGTACGTACAGCAGGAGTAAAGTGTGAATAAAGCAGCAGCGACTCTGGCTCCTCCTCTGAGGAATGCAGATGTGTGATTTTCTAAATCAGGGGAAGGTCTTTGAGTGTAGCTGCCCAGGGAGCTCTGAGAGTTGTGACATTTTCAAGCCTCTGCTGCTGGAGCTGCTCATTTCCGTTTTATCTTGGCCATGCTGACATCCAAATCACAGTTTTGTTGGGATGCTTTTGACAGCTGTCCGGAGACAATGACCAAAGAGAACAGCAGGTAAGAATGGAACCAAGTGCCAACGCCGCCTCTTGGAGGGATTAAGGAAATCAGTCAATAGCTTTCCTTCTGGAAGCATGGGGAATTTTATTGCTTATCAAACAGTGATGACTGCTGTGTTTCTATTTATGAAACAGATCAGAATGAGAGGAGTGGTGGCGGCTGTTGGGAAGTGAAACTCCACTAGGTAATTTCGAATTCTGTGCCTTCTCTCAGGTCTTTGAGCAAAATGGGAAATGGTTCAGTGAAACCCAAACATTCCAAGCATCCAGATGGCCACTCTGGGAACCTCACCACCGATGCCCTGCAGAGCAAGGTGACTGAACTGGAGAGAGAATTGAGGAGGAAGGATGCCGAGATCCAGGAGCGGGAGTACCATTTGAAGGAGCTGCGGGAGCAGCTGTCGAAGCAGACTGTAGCCATTGCAGAGCTCACGGAGGAGCTCCAGAACAAGTGCATCCAGCTGAACAAGCTTCAGGATGTGTTGCACATGCAGGGAGGAAGCCCGCTTCAGGCCTCTCCAGATAAAGTGCCTCTTGAGGTCCACCGGAAGACCTCAGGATTGGTCTCTCTCCATAGCAGAAGGGGAGCAAAGGCTGGGGTGTCTGCTGAGCCAACAACCCGAACCTATGACCTCAATAAACCCCCTGAATTTTCCTTTGAGAAAGCAAGAGTCAGAAAGGACTCCAGGTAAGAAGTTTCCACACCCTTTTGACTTGGATGGCCTCCATATTATGAAACACTAGAGTGATATTTATTAATCCTCCTCAGTGGTAAAGAGCATATTGACTCTTTCAGATTTGGAGATAGAAGGACTTCTAAAATGGTTTTGTTTTGCAAAAGAGTGTCCCTTTAAGCAGAACTTCTCTTTAAAGTTGGAATTGTGCTTAACCTAGACTTTGATTTGTGATATGTGTAACTGAGGAGCTGAGATTACAAAAGTAATTTCCATTGTCTTGAAAACCCTAAGGGGAGTGAAGAAGTAGCTTTTGGAAGTCTGTGCTTCTCTCTTTCTATAGGAGTGGACTTAAAAGTGTACACAAATCACAATGAATTATGAGTATGTATAATAAAAACCACTTATTAGCACTTAGTCTGCAAGTGTCATGAAAAAGGAGTGAGCTGGAGACTCAAAGGGATGAGTTCATTCATTCACTCATTCCACAGTTTAAGCTGAGCGTTACGTCTTCCACCCACTGTGTTAGATGCTAAGCATGTATCAGTGAATAAATAGACACAGAGGCTTTCTTGTGGGGAGGTAGACAGTGTACATGGACATAAGTAAGCATTCTGTAATTATTAATTGGGATACATGACATGATGAAACCACGAGTACAGTGGGTAGTATCTGGGATTAGGGAGAGAGAATGGGAAGGAGGCAACAGGATTGAGATTGTCACGGAGATATGGCTAATGAGGTGACCGTTGACTGAGACCCAGAGGAAGAAAAGGAGCATAGACTAGGTGGAAACAATTAAAAGCTAGAATTAATTATAAAAATAAGGATTTTTAAAAGAACATGTAAATATTTATCACGGCATTCTTGCATGTGTGTGTGTGTACTTTCTGGCTAAAGTCTGAACTTCCTAACCAGGAAAGATTGACTAGAAACATTATAAGTTACAGTCTCCTTTCTACATTGTTTTTAAATGAGTGAATATTTATTAGTTGAAATTAGATCTTTTGCCTTGGTAATGTCTTGGCTGGGCCTGGATCTCTCTTGCAAATTGCAATATTTGTGAAATTAAAACAAATTTTAATTTATTCACAGACACAAGTATATAAATCAAGATTAAAACATCTGACTTAAACAAATAAATGATTAATTTTGACAACAGAATCATAAAGGGAGGTTTAATTCATCAATTTGTTGACAGTACTTGGCACATAGTGAATGATTGATAAATATTTGTTAAGGAAACAAGTTATGCTGGATTATTAATCATACTACTCTGTGGCTGAAAGAAATCTGATTAATATTAGAGTTCAGAAGAGTTTTTTAAACCAAGAGTTTTTTATTAGTTGGTTTAGAAAGGTCTTATCTATTCCCTTTGCAAAAGTAATAATTATTTCTTTTTAATGGTGTGAATTCAGAAATTATAAATGTTAGAAACTTATGCTTGCTTTTCAAAAACTGAACATCATCCATGGTTCTCTTTTGATATATCAGAGATATATGCACATATGGTAACATTATATATCATGCATCATGTTACTATATGGACATAAGCATAATATAGTATCTTTCAGATAGCAGTGTGCTTGTATATCTAGGAGAAGTGTAAGAGAATTCAATAGCAATTCATCTTCTTTGACCCTCTTCCTACATATCCCATCAGATTTCTCCTCTTGAACAAAGATAATGTTCAATTGTTTTGTTCCAAAGACTTGAGGCATCTTGAGGCAATACACTATTCTCCTGGTGTTAGGTAACTGAACAATCCAATATAAGCATATTCCTATGAATTTCTTTATTAGCTCTACTATGAAGAAGAAAATCAGTAGTTCTGCACAGGCAATTGCTGGGCCAAACCATACTCCTTTTCGTCTGTCTATCGTAAGTGGGACATGAGAGGAAAGACATTATAGCTCTTGAGAAAGGACTAGTAATGATTCCCCTCATCATAAAGGCAAGCCAGATGGATTCAAGTCTGTGTTGAGGTCATGATGAAGAAATGGGCTAACTGATTCCTAATGATTAAGTCCTAAAGAGAGCAAACTAGATGATTCATGCCCTAATATTCCCCATATGCTTTCATAGAGCCTTGTGGTTCTAAATTCGAAAATTAAATAGAATATGGGAACCACTCTTTTTTTGTTGACTGGTTTGTGCCTTAATTTCCCTTGCAAAATATATCTTTCCTGAAGTCTGGAATAACTGGCTAAACAGAAACAGCTAACATCATCAATTCAGAGATTTTTAATTTTCCAGTTTTTCAACAGGGCTAAATATTACAGTTCATTTTCTATTTTGAGATAGTTCCAGTTTTGGAGGAAAGCCATAAGTAAACCTTGGATATTTTTGTCTATCTTTTACACTATCTATCAAAAATTTTGTAAGAAACAATTTTCTAGAAATTAGAGCTTTAAAAAATATGGGAGCATCATTCAATAATACAAGGATGACATACAGTAGCCTGGTTTGGCTACTTTTCCAAGCAGTTCCTGCTAGATAAGAGACAATTTAAGACATGAGTCAAAATGTCTCCTCTCTATATTCTTAGGTTCTCATGACATTTTGTTGAACTTTTATAAAGTTTATTAATTGAATTTATGACTAAATTTGTTCCTACTAATCTATGCCAATTACATTTTGGATGAAGTCCCCCCTCCATACTGGATGGGAAAGCCATTGAATGGCTTTTCAGTCTTTTTGTCAGAAAGGATGTCTCTGATGAGTACGTAACAGTGAGCAGGAAATGGAGAGGAGACTCCCAGCCCTCCTGCAATCAGCAGCATCAGGAGATAGGAAGTACTGACAGAAACCAGAGCATAACGTTTGGAGAAATGATAGATTTGGAATGTGAGGATTCACTTTCAGTAACTCATGAGAGACTCTAAAACCCATGCCACAGCGGTCTGTGAGTTTGCTGAGGCCCCTGGGCTCAAATGTATTTCAAGTGGCAAGTGAACCTTGTCAACCTCCAGGCAGCCAGCTCATACTAGCTTCATTGTCCTGTACCCATCAAGTGTACTTGTAGAGTCTGAAGGGATAACTTAAACTGTATAATTATACCTGCCTTTTTTTATGGAGAACTTATATCCTCTAATGGCATTGGAGAACTCTTGAAATTTGTCTCTTGCAAAATTCAAGGGTCTACCTTTTTTTTTTTTGGCCTGAGGAAGATTGACCCTGAGCTAATATCTGTGCCAGTCTTCCTCTGTTTTTTGTATGTAGGATGATGCCACGGCATAGCTTGATGAGTGGTGTGTAGGTCTGTGCCCGGGATCCGAACCCGTGAACCCCAGGCCACCGAAGCGTTGTATGCGAATGTAACCACTACGTCATCTGGCCAGCCCCAAGGGTCTACTTTTTAAGATCAGATTCTGGAATAATTGAGTGTCATCCAATAGAGCTGTCTGCAATGATGGAAAAGTTCTATAGTCTGTGTTGTCCAATATGATAGCCAATAGCAAAATGTACCTGTTGAGCACTTGAAATGTGGCCAGTGCCACTGAGGAGCTGAATTTTTAATTGTAATTAATTTTAAAATTGAATAGCCACGTGTGTCTAATGGCTATTGTATTGGATATTGCAGTTGTAGGTTATGTATTCTTATGTGTTTTTGGCTGTGATTGCTATCTCTTGAGATGGGAATTATAATCTAGTGAAGTTTGGGAAAACTTTATAGACAAGGTAAGACCTGTGTTCAGTTTTAGGACAAAGTCACAGAAATGAGAATGTCCCTGTCAGATTGAGATGGCCACAATGTAGATTTGCTCTTAAACTGCATGGAACATGCAGTATGTCATAGGCTTTTGTAGTGACTTAGCTTTGTGCCTGCTGACCATTTTAGATATTCAGAAGCATACGACTATGTGGGCACATAGCCCATTTCTATTACAGGTACTCAGCCTTACTCAGGGATTGTAAATTTTCTTGAGTCCGAATATTACAGTATATCACACACTCTGATCTCTGGGTTAAATTTAACATAGTGAGCATCAGAAGACTTTAGAGCCAGTAGAACCTTAGAGATTATTTCACACTACTCCCATTATTGGAGAAGCGAAGAAACAGGTGCAGGGGAGTTGCAGAATATGCGATGGCAAGTGGCAGAGCTAAGATTAGAATCCAAGACTCTTGAGTTTGAAACCAGTTCTCTCCCTCTACAATCCTAGTGCTCTTAGAACTCCTCACAAAGATGAAAGGCCTCAAGTCAGACCAGTTTGGGCAGCAGTCTGCTGTATTATGACATACTCTATTGATTGATAGGAGGAATGTTGGTGCTTCCTGGCTTATTCCAAGCAGAGCTGAGCAGAGCCTACCCATTGCATCAATGTTCACCAAGTGCTGGATCCCCAGAGCTCGGGCGTGTGTGAAAAGGACACAGAGAATGGGTTTGATCCATCTGATGGCACAGACGGTGATTTATATGGAGGGACACGAATGGGATCCCAAATGAGTACAGTGCTTCTCAAGGCTGAGAACTGAGAATCAGTGGCAAAGGAGGGTGAGAAAGAGCTCGGATAGCATTTCTGTTCATGTTTGACCTGCCTTGAGCACCAAGACAACTGTGCATCCAGAGGTCAGACCTTTTACTGAAATTAAATTTTCTGTTTATGTAGACATTGTTTAGCAAACTTCAGCACTGGCAGAGCAAAATTACGAGCTCAGGCTGCATGTCTGGTGGAGCACAGGCAAATTAATCGGAGACATCTGGCAAGTTGCTGGTATGAGTGCCTTTTGCTAAGAACGCTTAAACTATCATTTGAAACTATTGTTGTTCTGTGAAAAGGAAAGATAAAACAAAGACTTGCCGTCTGACTTCAGATGTTGACTCTAGTTTTAGGAAGGACAATTAGTTTCATTTGTCACTCCCACCCCAGGAACAGAATAGGTAAAAGTGGAAAATGTGAGTGAGTCATCCCTTTAAAAAAGACATGGAAAAGGAGTGAGGAAGAGTATGTTTGTGATTATTTGTGCCTCCTTTCTAAAGCCATGCTGAGCATTTGAATGTGCGTTATAG